CTTCCTTCTAGTGATTAGCCCAGCACTGATAACTTAGCAACTGCAAGCAGTACCGTGCTTACACAGAGCTTATCAAACACTCCTGAGTTGCTTCAGCAGATAGCTCTGAGACATCATATAGTCTTCTTTTGCATACCTGAGAGACCAGAGCAACCTCAGATCCTTTGTTGCTCAAGTTGGTGTTGGGGTAAAAAGATCAGCTCCGGAATCAGATTGCTAGGCTGGAATTCAGTCACTATCACTTATTAGTGACGTGTATTTGGGCAAGTTACTTGACCACTCTGTGCCTCAGTTTCATGACCATTAAGTATAATAAGCACAATAACCAGCTACTTCATAAGGTGATTGTGAGAATTTTAAAAAATTGTGTACTTAGAGGTCTTAGAACAATGGTGGGTATTTAGACAAGCAATAAGCAAATGGTGATTGTTATTTTGACATTATTTTATTGTTGCAAATGGATCAAGAATCATGAGGTGAAATACTACAGAGGACTTACTAATGCATAGCTATGAGTCATAGAAAGTAGCATAGGTCTTAATTTAGTACAGCAATCCATCTATGGGCCAGTTCCACTATTACATGAAATAATTCTTTGGAAGAATTTATACATCTTAACATGTTTAAAAGATACATATTAAACGTTCGCATGATTCAGACAAATTTTGAGATCATATATGTCCCAATATGTAGGATATCATTCAAAGAAAACATGAACTCACAAAAGTTTAAATAACACAGCTGATGCAATGACTCAGGTGGTAGAGTGTCTGCCTAACAAGTGCAAGGCCCTGAGTTCAAATCCCAGTACTGCCTCCCCAAAAAAATCTGGTCTCCAGAAGTTTGAAGAACAATGCAATGTGTAATTGTCTAGTTCAGAGCTATCATTTCTAATCATTTTAAGAATCTTTGTGAATGTCAAATCAGAATGTTGTAGTTTTTAACCTTTGTATATTAGCATAGAGGATTTACTAAAATTCAGGTTATTCCTGCCCCTCCTTTCATTAAATATCAAATAAAATTATTTATCAATTGTTAAATATTTAATTAGCATTAAACATGCTAATTATGCATATTTTTGACAATCAAACAGCTAAAAGAGAAAATAGTTGAAACAACTGTTGGTTACATTGTTCAAACTAAGAGTTCAACTAATAGTAGAACTGGACCATAGATTGACTGCTATCTTAAATTGAGACCCATGCTATGAGATCTATGGCTTATAATCATGTATTAATTAACCAAGCACTTTATAACCACTTACATATTACTTAAATGAAAATTACAACTAAAATTGAGCCTGTCATTCCTCCAATATTACCTACTCTACGGTCACTGGACTTCTAACTATTCTCAAAATATGCCAAGCCCTTCTGAATGACTCTTTTCTGTCCAGAATTCCTTCCTCCCTTTATCCTGGCTTTTAAAGAAAGCACAAATGACAATTTTTTTTATTTCCACAAAAGAAACAGTTGCTTCCTCTTTCTGATTCTTTCAATTGAATAATTTAACATTCATAGAGTACTTACTATATTAGGATGAAATCATTCCTTTGCTTTTTTCATGTCCTCACCTTAGCTATAAAATAGAATCTGATCTTCCCTCTTTGCAGGTACTTCCTTACAGAAAAAGGCTTGATTTAACTGGCCGTGAGACAGACAGAGGCTGTCACCTTTTTTGGACACATTAACCTCAGGAGGAAGCCCTTGTATTAAAGTCAGGGAGCTTGTCATCATATTCTTGAGTGCAATCAAGGGAGCTTGAGGCAGAATGACATCCTCCCCTGAGATGGTTGTGTATCTTTGTAGACCAATTCTGCCTACACATTCATCCCAAAGTCAAGCAGGATTTAGATGGAGAGATGGGTGAGAAACCCATTTTGTCTTTGAGCCAAGCAATAGTATCCAATCCATCTTATTAATATTAACAGTTTTCCCAATATGAATCCTCTATTTCTTAATTGATTAAGAACCTGTAGAGACTGAGAAATGTGATTAATGAGTGTTCCTTCAAAAACCCTTTATCAGTGTCTTAGGAACAAAGATTCTACTAAAGTGAATAATAAATGAGCCTTATACTCAAGTAACTTATGGTTCTGTAGTATTTCCACAATGGTTTGCACCTATCTCTATGGCATAATTTAAGCATAATTATGCCAATAATTATGCTTAAATTATAATTTTTTTGTTTGCTTTCTACCTCTTCATCTATTTTGTAAACAGCGTTTGGCAGAAACAAAGTCTTTCTCAACCATGTAAAGGCAGATGCCAGCAAACTAGTAGGTGCTAGTAGATGGTCATAAATTGTTTGCAGATGAAGCAATATGCATGGAATGCTCACCCTAACCAGAATAGATTCTGCTTTTAAAGATTAGTATCTATAACTTGTTTTTGAAACTTCAAGTTGATTTCTAGCACAAAACTTTCAGTTTCCGTATTCTCAAGCTGGCACAAACTACCGTTCTGTAAAATAGTCATGTTTTCTTTCTCACTTTCCATTTTTACTTTCTGGGTGGGGTGTTGAGGCCCTTCCTGTACCTTCCTAAAATAGAACTTTCCAAATTAGTTGGTCCTAAATATGTATCTTGTTTTCCTGCCAGATCTGACTTAGAGTGAGAAGAGATGGATTCAAAAAAGACTAAGTGGATTGCAAGATTCACAAAATGGACACAAATTACTTGAGGATCCTGTTAAAATATAGATTCTTATTTAGTGTGTGAAGCCTGTGAATCTACATTACCACCAAGCTCCCAGAGTTATTATGCTTATTTGAGGAGCCTCCCTTGAGTTGCAAGGGAGTAGACTTCACAAACACAATCATTCATTCAAAATTATTTAATTCTAATATGTGCCAAGCACCAGGCTAGGATACTAAATAGGAATGTGGTATATGTATCCCACACCAGAATGAGGCAGCAAACATAGTAATAAATAACTACTGTGATTACCATGAGAATAAGAAGACAAAAATAGATTGCAAGAAATAATTGCTAATGACATATATAATGAAGGATTATCACCTAAACTATATTTAAAAAATCTTAAAATTCAGCAACAAAAATGAATAATCTAATTCAAAAATGGGTAAAAAATGGTACCTCATCAAAGAAAATAGAGAGATGGAAAATAAGCCTATGAAAAAATGATAAGCATCATTTGCCTCTAGGGAATTGCAAATTAAAACAATGAGATACCAATAAATAAACACCTACTAAAATGGTGAAATTCTAAGCCACTAACAACACCAAAATGTTGGCTAGGATGGGAAGAAACAGGGACTTTGATTTATTGGTAGTGGTAATGCAAAAGGGTACAGCCACACTGGAAGACAGTTTGGCAGTCTCTTATAAATCTAAACATACTCTTCTCATACAGTCCAGCAATCATCCAACCTTGAAATTACCCAAATAAGTTGAAAACTTATATTCACACAAAAATGTACACATCAGTGTTTATAACAACTTCATAATTACCAAAATTTGGAAGCAACCAAGATGCCCTTCAGCAGGCAAATGAATAAATTAAGTTGTGATACATCCAAACAGTGCAACAGTATTCAACACACAAAGAAAGAAATGAGCTATCAAGCCATGGAAAAACATGGAGGAAACGCAAAAGCATGTTACCATATGAAAGAGGTCAATATGAAAATGCATGAACTATGTTTTACTCCAACTATATTACATTCTGGAAAATCAAACCATGGATATAATAAAGAGATTAATTGGTTGCTGGAATTAGGGGGAGGGACAAGTGAATGGGGAGAGCACAGAGTGCTTTTAGGGCAGAATTACCATTACAATGGTGGATTTAGGTCATTATGTAAGTCAAAACAAACAAAAAAAAAACTATAGCCTATAGCATGAAGAGTAAATCCTGGCTGGGTGCCATTGGCTCCCACCTGCAATCCTAGCTATTCGGGAGGCAGAGGTCAGGAAGATCATGGTTTGAAGCCAGCCTGGGAAAATAGTCCAAGTGAGACCCTATCTCGAGAAAAACCCATCACAAAAAAAGGGCTGGTGGAGTGGCTCAAGATGTAGGACCTGATTTCAAGCCCCAGTACCATAAAATATAAAATAAAATAAAAAAGAGTAAATGCTAAGGGTTGGGGATGTGGCTCAAGTGGTAGAGTGCCTTCCTTGCAAGCTGGAGGCCCTGAGTTCAAACCTAGGAATCACATACAAACAAAAAGTCACTCCTAAGCAAACTAAGGACTTTGGTCAATAAAGACATCTCCATATTGGCTCAATTTTAACAAATATACCACTATAGTGCAGGATGCAGGCGTATGGAAAATCTCTGTGCTTTCTGCTTAGTTTTGATGGACCTAAAACTTCTTTTTTACACAGGCACACAGACACATACTCACAGAATGAGAGGATGAATTCAGTCTGGGAACACATTCTTGGTTGGTACACAAAGCTGATCGAGTAAATCACATATAACAAACCCAATACCTACTTCAAGTTTCTCAAATTGTAGACACTGGAAAAAATATTAAAATCACCCGAGGTGTTTTTTAAAAATTCAAATTAGAGTCATATCCTAATGTGATTCATATTCATATTCCTGAATCAGAATTTCTAAGTACTAGGAGTTGGTAATATGCAAATTAACAAGTTTTTCGGGTTGTCTCTATGAGAACAACCTGATTTGAGAATCTCTTCTGTTTTGTCTCTACATATTTTTTGGTACAAAAGCAAATTTCAAATTGATTTCAAGTTTTAAAAAACCTTACTTTCTTATTAGGAACAATTGACAAGCATAGAACTCATGGAAAATCATTGAATTATCTTCCATCTGTAAATTAATGAAATACATACAGAAAGAATACCAAAATACATTTATTTAGGAAAATATACATATATCTGATACCCTTTTTAAAAAGGAATAAAAACATAAATGATTTTGTGATCTTGACAAACATGGTACAAATATAAGCTTATTTGCCTCATTTATAGTGGTAAAGTCACTGTTAATATTATCTTTTATTGTAAGATATGTTAAGACTGTTCTAATCACTTTATACAGAAATATATTTTTTTAAATTGGAGAAAATTATGAAAGAATTTCTAAACTTTGTGTGTTTATCTGATAAGAGGAGAACAGTACTCATCCTCCCATATTTCCTGTTTCTATTTTTAAGAACGCAACAGGCAGCTAGTCTAATGTCTTTTTGCATAAATTGTCCACAAATACTACTTGGCTAAAACAACTTACTTAAAATTAGTTGCTTAAAATTCTAGGTGTAATGATATATTGGCTACATTAAAGTGATTCAGAAACAGTGCTTGCAGCCCCACATTCAAGGAACTAAAAGTCAATGTGATGTGAACATTATGTAAGAAAAGCTTCAGAACTTCTCTCTGGTTTGTGTGAGTGTGTGTGTGTGTGTGTGTGTATGTATGTTCTCTACTTACATTCTTATAATTTCATAAATTATCTTCTTTAATGACTCATTTTCTGTAGTATTTTGCGCTTCATAAACAAACTGAAATGGAACACCAATGTGATCAGTTTCTCTTGTCCAAATTTTGTAAGTCACCTACTCCTTCCATATACAAACACACCTACACACATGCACACATGAAAGCATGCATGCACATACACACATGCACACAGACTTCTGCATATACAGACCACATACATTTGTTCAGCAGTTCATGTATTTCTTCAAGTGGATTCTTATTTTTATATGAGTAATTATTGCATTACTAAATAGCAGCATCTGAGAACTCTAGCCTCTAGCTGTTGAATAAAGGTATAGGCTATTTTTGAAATCATTACACTCAAGTACTTTGGAAATTCAGAACATGTAGAAATCTTCACTATCCTCTTACATGACTGCAATATCAGTATTTTAACAAGGACTATCAAACTGTAATTCCTTACTACATATGACTTTCCTTGATTTCTTCATTTGATGACCAGCAAGATATAGATATTAATGCAAGTATGTCAACCTCTGCTAACCAACTAAATATTCTGGACTTTTCTACATTCCATTAATTATTCTTTCAATTTGCTATCAGGTCAAGCATGAGGCAGTTACAAAGTTCAATCTGCATTTGCCCAATAATACCTATTCTCATTGATTTTTATGTGTGTTCAAATGCCCCTTCGTCTATTAATTCAGCAGCATAATATCACATTCATATTCACTACTCTCCGTGATGCAAATACCGACTCACCACTTTGCTTATAAATGCACTATACCTTGATTGCTCCACCAGTAGCTAATCTGCTTCCCAATTTAACAGGATGGATATTAGCAACTGTTTGCCAGATACAGAGAAGATCCACCTCACACCCAGGGTCTGTGTTCTGCCAACCACTCTTTCCAATTCTTTCTTATGTCAAGTCTAAAATAATTTCTCTTTTGTACTTAGGAAACATTAGCTGTAGGATGACACAGGAAATTCTCTTTCTATGGAAGATTGGGAACATACAATCATTACTACAGTTTAAGTAGTCAACTGGGACATTCTTTCATTTTCAAGAGTTTGTAGTGAACTGATCCACATGATACAAACCTCTCTGATAGCTCCAAAGGATATATTGGCTTTACATATTGGGTAAAAGATAGCTATGTTTAAATTTTCTACTATTCTGCTATTCATGATATGAAAACATTTTAGAGAGATTTGTTGTTAAAACTCTCCCAAGAAAGTTTTTGGGAGAAATTTTAATCTTATGTCCTATGGACCTTTGAGATCTAAGCACCAACATAAACCATCTTGAAGTGAAATTCCTCAAGCTGAGGACTATCATCTGAAATCCTGCCAAGGCCAGACAATGGTGTTGACATTGCTGATCATTCGGTAATCACTGGCGGGTGTCAGGATCAGATTCAACTCCTCACACATATGGATGCATATTCTGTTGGTGCTTCTTGCACATTTCTTGCCTGTCTTGTGTTCCTTCCAATGACGGAATGGTTCAGGGAAGCATAAACAATGCCCTGTTTATTTTCTTCCAGTCGTGGGTAAAAATATACTTCAGCCCCTTCCTGTGTCCTAAACCAGGAGTCATTATCATAAATTCCAGCTTCTGGTGGCAGTGTTTGGGAATTTTGCCTACGACTGTCCTCTGCTTGCTCACTGCTAAGGGGTTGAGGAGCATCAACCTATAAGAGAAAAAGATGTATACGTAAGGACATGATAATACATATTTAATAGTAAAGAATGAGTGAGCAGCCGAGTGGAGTCATATACGTTGAAAGAAAGAACTTATTATTCCTTGTATATGTTGCTAATATCTATATTTGTGACAGGCTTTAGATTATTAGAGGAAGAAAGTTTTGAGGGCCACCATGTTCCTCCCAAACAGTTATTTTGTGCTTTATTGTGAGTCCTTTTTGAGGTCACAGAACACTTTTCAATCCCTCTTCAAAACAAAAGCAAGCCAAAATTAATAAGAAAGGCAGAAAACTTCAGGTATTCTATAATCCAGTGGGAAGTATCAATGTAGCACAGAATAAAATGGTTAAATATAAAGTAAAACAGATAACCCTAAGAGGCAGAAAGAATATTATGAGTTATCCAAGATAAATTATTATGAGCTGGGACCTAATATTGGAAAATCGATGTCAGTTTTAGAGGGACAAAGCTTAGATAAAGTTCTAAAATATTATTCCAGTTATTATTTCTATCCCAAGAAAATTCTTATTTTCAAATAGTGTTAAATGTCTTAGCGCTTCTGAATTTGTTGAAACTAAAAATAAAGTGAGTCCTGATGTTTTCTCACTTTTTTCAGTAATTTGTTAGTTATTCCTTGCTGGACAAAGGATCCACCTGGTAAAAATGAAGATATTATATTAATACAAGGGATTATTCTTTTGATTTTTTAAATCTCAATTTTGCCAGACAATTTATGTTCTTACAGTTTGACCTAACTCTTTTACATTATCAGGTCTATAATTTCTGACCATCCACATGCCTTCTCTGGTCCTTTGCTATCCTCATTGTGATCCGTTCCGTAGATGCCTCTTCCATCTTGTTGGCAGAATTCTACCATGCAAGCTTGTCTGGCCCTATCCAGACAATAATTACTACCCTATCCAGGTAATAATCTCTGATATACTTCACTCCTCTGATGAGGTGACCACCCAGAAATAACACTAAGTCTGATGATTGAAAGAGGCAGGGGTTGCATGGCTACTACCTCCACATAGGGAGCCTGGCTAGAGTCAGCAGGTTGGAGGACTGAACACTGTCAAGTGACCTGATAAACAGCTATGAATCTGTCATATGTGAACAAGGTCCCTGTTATACTTTCCAATCTGTCAATTCTGTTACCTGGCTCTCTTCCCCAAAGATGGCTCATTTCCACATTAAATTTTGTCAGAATGAACATGGTACTCCACACCTGAAGCTCTCCTGCAACACTCTATGGAAAGACATAGTGAGACTCTGTGTCTGATAGTGGACAGATACAATAAACAGAAGATACAGAGGCAGTGGTCCCACCTTACATTCCCATAGCACTTTACAGCTTCCAAACACTTTTTAAAATACATATGCTGGGTTATAACTCACATTCCATAAAATTCACCCTCTTAAGTGTACAATTCAGTCAGTCACTATATTCTCCAATGACCATTTTAGATTAAGATATGTACTAATAAAGAAAAGTCAAAATGGCATCAGAGGGTCAAAGAGAAAGCAAAAATCCTTCTGAAAGCCTTAGAGGTTTGCTGACCAGGATAGATTGCTTCATATGCCATGGGCCTGCAGAGATCCAGAGTGTCCAGTCTGTTCTTGGCATGGATTTTTCAGTGGTTTTGCAAAATTTGTAACCACCATAAGTCAGTTTCCACCACTAGGCCCATTCAGCCCAGCTTCTCTCAAAAAAATTCTGAGCTGTGTTTTCCCTCCTCGCCTTTTTGTTATAAAAGTCTCAATCCTGCCTCAAGTCAAAGGAATACTTGTTAGATTTTTAAACTGAGCTTGTGTATTTTGGTTTGTACATCTCTTCTGAGCCAAATAAAACTGTCTTTGCTTTCATTTTAAGTTTGTTCATGATTTTTGTCTCACAGTTCTTTTTTTTTTACCAGAGATCCTTTCTCTACTTTAGATTTCCTTACTGGTTCCCATACAAGTTACTTAAGAAATATTTAGTCAGGTATGATGGCTCACAACTGTAATCAGGAGATGGAGGTCAGAAGGATTGTGGTTTCTGGCCTGCAGGGGCAAAAAATTAGGGAGACCTCTATATCAAGAAACAAGCCAAGTGTGGTGGTAAACAGCTGTAATACAAGCTACACAGGAGGCAGAGGTAGGAGGATCATGGTCAGAGGCTGACCCTAAGCAAAAGAACAAGATTCTATTTGAAAATAACTAAGAAAAAAAGGGCTGCAGGCATAGCTCAACTGATAAGTGCCTACCTAGCAAACTCAGGTCCTGAGTTTAAACCCCAGTACCACCAATGTATGTAATATTACGAATTATTACACTAACATTATAGTATAGTTATTATAATATATATTACATTTAGCCACAGGAATCCAATATGGCATCCCTTTTATTTTTTTCTGAATGCAAACATGGCAAAAAACTTCAAATTCCTGTGAATGACAAGAATACCTTAAAGCAAACTTCCCAAATAATTGCACCCACAGAAAGACCCCTTTTGAATTCAACTGAAAGTCATGGAAGAAATATGACTGTAGTGTAACCAACTTGGGTTTTACCTACACAGTAACTTACTTAGATTACCGATTACTGTTTTAAATACTTTCACAGTTCTCAAGCTTGATTGTGATAGAATGTAACTTTTTTAACTGTTGTTTACTTATGGATAGAGAAAATAATACTTAAGAAAAAATTTCTAGTTGAAAAAACAAAGCCTTAGCACTGCACACAGGGCATACTGATGCTCACTGAAAATTAATACACATTTATCAAGGTGGATATCTTTGGTTTCATTTTAAAATTTGACAACTTGGTGTGGAATGCTGAATGACATTTAATGTTATATGTGAAATAATTGCCTATATCTGCTTCTGGCACTTTCGGAATTTTCAAGAGGCTATTGCCTCTTTATTTCTACTTCTCCTTTCTGAAACATACACACACACGCACACAAAGTTCCTTTGCAGCAACTCATTTGTGATTATTTTTAATTAAAGAGGGTCCTGTTTTTCACAAACTTAAAACCTCATATTGCAACATTTCTTTAGTTCCAGTGTCTACACAGCTTCTAATCTAAAAGAAAGGCCTAAACTTATTCTCCAAACATTGTAGAAAAGAGTGCCTCCAAAGTGACATTAGCTTTGCTTTGGTTGGTCTTTTCCTGCACGAGCCTATGTGCAGTGCCAGCAATCTTTACGCTAAATAACTAAGCCTGGGGTTATGCCTCTTTATTGCCAGTTTGTTCCAAAAAGAAATCTAGTTATTATTATTGAGTTATGACTTGTGATAAATAACCCATAAGTGAGGCTATTTATGGGTTCATTCTTTCATTAATTACTTACTCTCCTCCAAAAAAAAAAAAAAACTTATGGTATCTCTGTAAAAATAAATGAATAGCCAAAAGCCACATAATGGGCAAGAGCAGAGCCAAGGTTATGTGGTTCAGTCTCTGATTTTTGTTTCCCAAACAACCACTTATTTTGAGACCTGTAAATCCTAAGGGGCCTTTGCTACATTTAAAAAAAAAAAAATGTGCAGAGTTAGCAGAGTGGCTCAAGTGGGAGAGTACCTGCCCAACAAGTAAAGGCCCTGAGTTCAAACTCCAGTACCATCAAATAATAATAATATAATTAAAACAAAAAATTAGAACAGTGTCTGGCTTATGGTGTCATATAAGCTTACTGAATATATGTATATGATATACACAAATTGTATCCGTCTCAACAGATGCATCAAACATACCAGATTAATTTCCCTTCCTGCAATATCAGAAGGCTTCTTTTGTTTCCCTGGAAGGCAAAAAATGTAAAAAAGTAATCAAAAGGAGTGAAGAAAGCAACATAAACCACCTTCCCACTCATACCCACCCCATTGCATGCCAGTGAACATGTTGTCAGTTTTTGGGTTTGTGTGTTTGCCTTGGCTACCCTGCCACATCCACCTCGGTTTGTGAGAATTAACCTTCCCTTTTCCATCCAAACACTTTCACTCCAGTTGTCCTATGGCATATCCAAGAGGAAGGGGCAGGATATCACACATTACTTTGAAAAGGTTGGAAGTCCTTGCTCTGGAGATAGTTTATACTCAATGCCAGAAAAATTTCTGTCCTGTCACATACATAGGGAAGTGCCGAGTTCACGCTGGATGTGATAAATCAAAAGAATTATCCCTGCTTCTTTTTTCTGAGGTTCTGAGAAAGCTTCTAGCAATGTCGGGAAAGGCAATGACATCCACAGATCATGAAAGGGGCTACTGAATTGCAAATGCAGAGTTGGGGGGTTGATGGGACTCCTCAGAATCCTAAGGAGGCGCTGGGTTCCAGAAATCTTCACCAGGAACAGAAGCACTTCTGCCCATGCGAAGCTTTGCTCTCTTTGCCATAACTACACAGTGACTGATACTGTGGGAAAAAGGATAGGAAAAATGATGGAAAGAGAGAAGGGGAGAGAGAAAAGTGAGGTGAACCAGATCAAAAGCTAGATCAGAATTCTCTAAGCACATCTCTCTTAATGTGTTTTTAAGTACTTGGTGGTGATATTGAAGGAATGTTTTCAAAAATAGAAAGGTATTGTTTTAAAAATATCACACCCTTCCCATCATAGCCAAACCCACATTTTTCCAATGCAGTATTGTTGAGTGAGTATTTAGTTCAAGCATGTATTTATGATGACATAGAAAGTATATATGCAAAGGAATTCCCTCAGGGGAACATTTGGTTCTGAATGTAGTTAAGGGTGTGTATGACAGGGATGATATTCTATAATTGTGAAAAAGACGATGACATGTTGATCCAAGAGATTATTTCAACCTCCTTTTCAACTCAAAGTTTACAAGAGCTTTTTCTTATAAAAAACTAAGTTTGATGCAAATAGAATGAGAAAGTTCCAGCAATGTGCCCTGCTAGCCACAGCACTGGACTGGAGCACAATGTTGTGGCAAGTGTGCCTCTCTGTGCCTGGAAGAAGCCAAAGTCAAGTCATTTGTCTTTTTCGTGGAAATGTAACCATAGACCCCCAGGAAGTCATGGTTCATGATTTGTCATACAAGATTGGGAAAGAAAACAGCAGGAACCAACTTTTGGTTGGTTGGACCAACTTTTGGTCTCTGTTAAAAGAACCCAAATGTGCGGCACATAAAGCAAAGGGAGACCGGAACTCACCTTGGTATCTTTTCAGTCCATAAATCAGGCAGTAACAGGCAATGATGAGCAAGGGCAATGCCATCAATGGAAGCAAATGGAGAAGCAGCCATTGGCTGTCTGTTGTCTCTTTCTCGAAGGGTGGTCCTGAGGCACTGGTTGCATCTGCAATGTTGAGCAGTTAGGGAATCTGAGATATAATAGGATTAGCAACACTTCTCTGCATCATCAGAACTTGAATGAAGGAAATTTCAGGCTAATCCTTCCATTTCCCCTTTGCAGACTCTCTTGAGAAGCCCAAAACTCAGTGTACCTCTTTTAATCTTTTGCAAAAAATCTTTCATTATGCGGAGTGGGCACATTGGCTCATACCTGTAATCCCATGTACTGGGAAGCAGAAATTGGGAGGATCATGGTTTGAGGCCAATTCAGACAAAAAAGTTAGCAAGACCCCTCTTAAACAATGTGTGCTGGTGGCGCACATTTATAATCTCAGTTATGTGGGAACACATGTAGGGTATCATTGATCTGAGGCTGGCCCCAGGTGAATACACAAGACCTTATCTGAAAAATAACTAAAAAAGCAAAAAGAACTGGGGTGTGACTCAAGTAATAGAGTGCTTGCCTAGCAAGTGCAAGGTCCCAAGTTCAAATTCAAGTACTACCAAAAAAAAAAAAATCATTCTGCTAGGGTTAATCTGTAGGACAATCTCCAGAATGGCTCTCAGAAAGCACTTCACCAGGCCCTTCCACTGAAGCATCTGATTCTACACTCCTGTTCACCACGTAAGAAAATCAGGGAAGCCATTATTTTATCCAGTCTGATGACATACATGTTATTGTTCCAAGACTTGCCCTATGTCAGACCACTAACGAGCAGCAGCTGGGGCTCAGGTCAACATGTTTATGACACATTCCTTCAACACCATGCCCTGCTTTGTCTCTAACCCATTGCTATCTCCAAATACTCAATACTTTGGGTTCACCAAATACTCTTTGACGGCATAAAGCTAAGATTGATGTAAACATTCCTTAAAGCCCTGTTTGTCCACAGTTGGTTGTAACATATAAGTAAGGTGTGAAACAATTTAGTAGATCAGAAACAGATTTTTATAAAGGGAAACCAGACAGAACAGAAAATATCAGAATGTTTCACAAACAGCAGTAGTTCTCAACTGGGATTAATTTTGTCCTTCAAGGAACATGTGGCAATGTCTAGAGACTATCCTAGTGTCACAAGATGGCAGGGGGTTACCATCTAGTGAGGAAAAACCAGGATTCTGCTAAACATCCTACATTGTGCTGGACTTCCTCCCCTCACCACAAAAAAGAATGATCCAATTTAACCAAAGTACGGCTTTGTGAACTTTCTTTACATGGATGTATATTCTGGGTTATGATGTAAGATCTTGATCTCAGGTTCATTAACAAAGTATGAAAAGTACTGAAGTAAGGTGTTCTATTATAATGGGTGAGATTTTTTCCCCTCGATACTTGATTTGAGGATAAAAAATGATCAGGGGCGACCTAAGCTGGACATAGAGTAGACATGTATTTTGGTAAATCCTGTGGTAACAAATGTTATCCTGTTCATGCTGCAGCTGTTGTTTAGGTTGGGCGAGCAGCCAAATCATTACCAGAAGTGGCAGACACAGCTGTTTGGGGAGTGGGGAGTGTTGGACGAAAACAACAGATAACCTAATACAAACAAATCTACTCAATTAAGAAGACTAAACTTCTATTATTCCTTTAACCACCAAGCAAATATGTTAATTTTGTTTGACTGGCTTGATACTTACTTGTTAGAGGGAATTCTGAGTTATTTTGAGCATGTTCTGAAATAGAAAAAGAAGAAAATAATTGCAGTTGGTTGAGAAAACAATGAGGGTGTACCTCAGGTACGTCGAAAATCAAAGCCAAGAACTAAGAGGGCATCCTATAATCCAACCCATCGGCAGTTGTGTAATTCATGAATCATCAGCCTGAGATTATGGAACATAAAGTAACTGACTTATTTACAGGCTAAAAGTAAGACTCTGTAAATACAGCATAACCTTTATCTGTTTGCTTCAATTCCCTCTTCCCCATTCCTTAGGTATAAGGACAAAGACCAGCCTGTATGGCACTTTTAGCACCTGTGCTAACAAAACACACATTCGGCAGGAGCTCCAAGTGAGTGTGAGCAACCACAAGGAAAGAAGCCTTTTGGTGACATTCCATGAGCTCATTCTGAAACCAAAATTGTTCCTCTCACTTCCTGCCTTCTCACTCCACACCCATTTCCCTGCACAGGGTGACCACTCCTCCTTTGTGAAGTTCCCGATAAGAGCTGGACCAAGGACAGGGTCAAAAGCACTGAATTTCAGGCCAATGTATTTTCCAGGGACTGTTCTTCAGCGTTGTCAGTTTTTCCCCTGAGACTTTGCTTTGTTTTACAAAGTGCTTTTCCTCATTATCAGAGATTATTGCTTTACCAAGAACATGCAAGCCTGAACTCTGTCACATACTTGTCCTTACACACACCCATCCAGAGCACATTTCTTTCCTCACTTCATAGTTCATTCACAAAGCATTCTCAGTTCATTCATTTCAAAAGGAAAAGGAATTTTTGTTTGACCCTTTCCCTGTTATCTTTTCACCATTTCACCTAAAGGAAAATCCATACCCATTAAAATTAAATCTAATTCCTAAATCATGTATTTGTTGCAAAGGAAACATAGACAACCCAAAGAAATATGACACAATCCCTGCCTTCCAAGACATTATAATCTTTTTTGGCATTTGAAAAACACACATTTCTACACCTTTCAATAGTGAAAGTGATAAATGAGGGACACAAACCTTAAATAGCATAAAAACAGATAGACAAGAGGAATCACCTCTCCTAGGATGACCATGGAAGGCTTCCTTAAGAACTTGGGTAATGAACTAGGCTTGAAAGGAAAGGTAGAATTGTGATAAGTAGAGACAAATGAAGGGTGCTCTGCGAGAGGCAAGAATAAGTGTAGGAAAGGTCATGGTAAAGACATGGCAATTGCAAGTAGGGCTGTTAGGCTGGGGTTGAGCAGTTGCTGGTAGAATCTAAAAGCAAACCAGAAAGGTAGGTGGGGACAGTGGAGTTCTTTTTTTATTCTGAGCAATAGTCTTTTCAGATATATGACTTGAAAATGTTTTCTCCTACCTGTGGGTTGTCTGAAGTTATCTTTTGATGCAGAAAAGCTTTGAACTTTTATGAAATCCAATCTATTTTTGTTGTTTTATGCTTTTGTAATCATATCTCAGAAACTATTATCAAATCCAAGATTAGGAGGATTTGCATTTTTGTGTATAGACTTATAATTTTATATAAATGTAGTTTTATAATTTTTAGCTCTTAAATATAAATCTTTGATCTGTTTTCATTTTTTTATGAAGTATGAGGTAGAGGGTTTGAATTCATTCTTTTGCATGTATATATACAATTCTCCCAAACAATATTTGTTTTGGGATTTTTTTTGTTGTTTCATTTTTGTTATGATTTTTGGTGACTATTTCTTTTACATACTAGGGATCAAATTTGGGGCTTTGAGAATGCTAGGTAAAAGCCCTACTACTGAGTTATATCCCCAGTTGCTGTTGGGTGAAGAGATTCTTCTTTCCCCATTGAATGCTTTTGACACGCTTGTCAATAATCAATTGACCATACATATGTTATTCTGGACTCTCAATTCTATTACCTGGATTTCTATGCCTGTCCATATGTCAGTACCATACTGTTTGATTATTGTAGTTTTACAGTAAGCTTTGAAACAAAAAAGTATTCATCTCCCAACTTTCTTCTCTTTCAAAATTATTTTGTCTATTCTGGGTCTGTCACAATTTGATAGGAATTTTAGAATTAACTGTTCCCTTCTGCAAAAAAAAGAAAAAAACTTTGGATTTTTTGTTGAGTATGGCATTGAATCTGTAGATCATCTTGGGTAATACTGTCATCTTTACAATATTCAATCTTCCAATCCAGGACAATGGACTGTTCTTCCACTCATTTATATCTGCTTTAATTTCTTTATTTGTTATTTCATACTTTCTTTGTTCTGTTTAAAAGTATTGTACCCTTAAATTTATTTATAAGCATTTCATCCTTTATTTGTTGTACTGGGATTGAACCAAGGGCTTTGTGCATGCTAGGCAAGTGCTCTACCTCTTAAGCCATACCTCAAACCCTCTAAGTTTTCCATTCTTTGAGATATTATTATAAGCAGAATTGTTTTCTTAATATCCTTTTCAGATTGTTCATTAATAGTGTATAAAAATGCCACTAATTTTTATGTACCCTACAACTTTGCTGAATTCAAGTATTAAGTAGTTTTTATGGATTTTTAAGTATTTATCTAAACATAAATTCATGCCATCTGTAAACAGTGATAATTTTATTTCTCACACTTCATTTTAGATCCTTTTGTTTCTTGTTCTTATCTAATGTGCTGTCTGGAACTTCTTGATCAATATTGAATGGAAGTGGCAAAAGCAGTCATCCTTGTCTTGGTTCTGTTCTTATGGGAAGAGCATTCACTCTTTCACTATTGAGTACAAATATTGACTATGGCACTTTCATAAGTCAAATTCTCCTCCCTTTTTTACTTTTTTCTGTGTTTTTTTCAGTTTGATTTTCCCAAGCTTAACCTCCACCTGTTCTTTCTTAACTGTTAGATCCAATTAAAGGCCTCTGGGGAGAAGCTGGAGTATCCGCCAAAGCCCTGCATATTCCCAAAGACTTATAAGAGAGTCAGATTATTTGTATGTTGCTTGCCCTTTAGGCAAACTGAACTATTAACAAATGTGCATATGAACATCACAAGCATAACTTCTATAAGTTATAATCAACAAAAGTCAAGGACAGAAAATATGGAAGAAAAAAATAAAAGAAACAAAGCAAGGACAAAGAATAGTGATCTATAACCACTGATACTTACTTTGTAATTTTTTTTCAATATTCAGTGATCTATTTTGAACTTACCAAATAAATTTTAGAATCCCCCAAAACAATAACTTTCATTATGTTTTTCTCTACTTGTTTCTACCTCATTCACCCCAAACACACACACACACACACACACACACACACACACAAATATGCACTTGTGCATGTCACAATTTGTGATTTGTGAAGTATGACAGACTTTTGAAGTGATACAAGTGTTCTCTCTCTAATCTACATATGGGAATCTGGCTCTTCCCTTACAATGAGAAAACCAGAATGTGATCTGGGAGTTGAGAACTCACCTATTACATGGATGATTATTGAGTGGCTTGTAACAACATGAGAAGTAAACTGTGCAGAACAGCGGTATGACCCATTGTCACTTGGAAACACTGGCTCAAAATGCAGAATAAAAATGGAAATACTCTTCCTTTCTTCCCAACTCGTGTGTAGGTGATGTCTGTCCCCAAGATCTAAACATTCTGTTCCATTCAACTTGCACCAGGTCACATTGGGTCTGCTAGCACAGTATTTCACAGGACATTCCATTCTAAAAGGTTTTCCTACTGAAACAACGTGTTCCAAATGTCTCTTAACGTGAAGTTGTACTTCACATGGCTCTTCCCCTAAAAATGAAAACAAAATTAAAATCAAATCTATTCTTCTGGAATTATAACATTTCCTGCCAAAGATTCAAAGCATGATTCTATAATTTTCCTAGATAAAATTTTCTAGTAATCAATCATCACTAACCAGTGTCTGGTACATAGTAGTACATATAAGTATTTTCTTTAAAAATCAAATAAATAATCCAATCCTCTCAACAAAAATAACATGTTATTATAAGTGAGGAGACTGAGGTGGTAAAGAACTTACCTATAGTAATGTGCTAATATTAAGAGAATTATGATTTAAAGATACACTGAAGTAATTGCTCTATAATTCATCAGTTTTTAGTCTGTGTTACTTCTTGAGAAAATGAGTAACCACATTTTCTATCACTTGCTCCAATATATTCCATTAAGTAAAAGAGAGGAATTTTTTATAAATAGTCATTTCCCTATAATACTTGGCATGAGGAATCTTCTTTTCTAGTTTTTCAACAATGTTAATACTGCCTTACAATCTTTTCCATGACTGCTTCTGGGTAGAAGACATGCAACTCAAGACAATAATCAGAATGTTGGATGTTCTCAGATGACCCAACTTGAATTTTTTTTGTTTCTCCAAGTTCTTCCACAGTGCCCTACCTCTTTGGAATTTCTGCATACTGGCCCAGCATACTGGAAACATGCCTCCCTTTATTTAGGGGAAGAGAGTATTTTCATGGAAATAGATCTTTCTATAATCTATAAATTACCAGTTAGTAATTGTCAAGTGTATATAAAAACTATAGCACAAAAAATTTAAATTTTCTATTATTGAATAAGTTACTCTAATCATTATTAGCTTACCATGAAAATATTTACCTTAGAACTTCAACACCTAATAAAATGAGAGCCAAGACACATGAAAAAGAAACCTTCTCTAAGCAGACAAAATAGATATGAGATACTGCAAGATTCAAAATTTACCTCATTTTACACACAATTCTTATAATCCCATTATCATTTCCTAATTAGCCCAGATGGCATAATTGTGTTATACATTACAGACTAACAATTATGTTCAGAATGATAAAATTAAGTCAATAATAAAACTAAAAATTATATTCAACTGCATCCACTTATTGAAACAAACAAGTATATGATCTTGTTTACAAAAAATTTCATAAGAATGATTACTTCAAAAAATGTTTTGGTTTCCAAAGAGACAAACTTCAGTTACTTAAAAGGTACAGTTTTGCTGGCAGAGTGACTCAAGTAGTAGTGTACCTGCCTAGCAAGCCTGAGGCCTTGAGTTTAAACTCCACAAAAAATAAGAAGGTACAGCTTTGTGGAAGTATTCATTCTCTGATAATTTCTGTACTGTATTGTGCCTTTGAGAAATGGCATATATTTAGAACAACCACTTTAAAAACCTTTCAGTATTTCTTCATGTAACTGATTATGAGTGACAATCATAGAAATCATGGAATATTCTAGTATGGATCTGTCTCCCTGGGTAGATCAAACAAAATAAGTAACATTGGCAAAGATTTCTTTTAGTTAAGCACTTTGTGGTGTGTATGTTTTTATTTTTCTAGTAAAGTTAAGGCCAAACATACAGACTTAACAGTATTTTAAAGTATTTTTCCTCTACTACTGTTCTTTTTAGCTTATCCTATGCTTTGATCTCTTCTTTCTCTCAGCAATATATCTAATCTATCTCCTTCATTAATTTCTTTCACTCATCTTCAATTTTCTTCTAAATAGACTCACAGAATCAGAGGTTATAACGATATGAGCATGACTGAGATTATAGCCCAAAACATCCTTTAAAGATGAAGAGGGCCTGATCACGCAGCTAGTCAGACATGGAACTAGAGGGAAGCTTTTGTGCCTGGGTTTCAGTTGCCTCTGTACCTAGAACCATGTTCTACTTCATTTCTACACCTTCAACAGCTTGAATATTCTCATTTTTAGGCATTTTCTAACATCTAATAAACATTTCACTATAATTCCTGCTCACATCTCATCCACTTCTGCTTAGAATAATTGAACTTTGATTCAGTTTTCAGGAATCAGTCTGGGACAAGGGACTGCAAAGAATTTTTAGAATCTTTGATTATTTACTGTGCTGAGACCTCAAAACAAAGTCACTTTAAGACTTCCTATTTCAGTTGCTTTCAAAATTTCGGAATACAAGTGAAACCAAATTAAAAGGTAAGTTATAAGGATAAGGCTTTCAAAAACCTGAAGAGAAAGAGTAAGATAATTTACTAAAAGGAAGTGCCTAACAATACAACACCTGGATGTGGTTAACACTTATGACAAAAAAATAAAGAGGCCAGAGCAAAAAAGCCAAGTGAAACCCTGTTTCCAAAAGTCCATTCTTCTCCCTAACGCTCACAGGCTGTCCCAGCCTTTTAAGTTCCCTTTTCATTTTCTTGAACAAGTCAGTAATAGTTTATGGAGTGTATGATACTGTGCTAGAATTATGAAATCTAAGATGACTACAGACAAAAACTTTTCATCTTTAAGGATCTTACTGTTCAATCAGTGAGACAAAATTACCTAAAAATGAGACTACTTTTCTGAAATAAATTGTCTATTTACCTCTCTTTTTCTCTTCCTGTTTACCTGCACTAGAAGCAAGGTTTAGAGGCACCTTATATGCTAGTTGTTAAGGGGTACAGAAATAAGATGTGATGCCCACCGTTGTGGGATTTGTCTTTGAATAGGAAATAAAGATGCATGATGAATGGGAGAGTAACATTAAAAAGGGGTAGAAACCACTCTGCAAAGGGCAAGGTTCATGGAAGCTGAGCTGCACCTCAGTGAAGGAACAGTCCTTTGACAATCAGGAAAGGTGAAGTATTGTAGGACTGAGAAATAGAAAGGTAAAGTCTTTGAGTCCAGAAATATCATGGTCAATTCAAGGAACTGATACATAGCTGGATCATGGTTTTCTGAAAGTGACATAAAGACCACTCGTTGCTTCAGAATAAATGGAAAAAAAATAGGTGGGGACATTTAAATTTTTCCTATCTAGTATGAAAAGTACAATGCCTAACTTTGGGGGCATATTTATAAATGGCATGGAAACAACAAAACAATGTCAATATTCATCTGAACATCGTTGTTTCAAATGCTAATATGCTGAATAAACTTGAGATGGTCTCAATAGCCTTCAATACTTTCAAAATAAGTTAAAGGACTGAACTACAAGCACCCACCACCAACACACAAACATACACAACTTCACTTTCCTCAATATACAACTAATTATGAAACCACTTCTAGCCTGCAGTATCTATTCTTCTTACAATGTATTAGCCAAAGAACATCATTGAATTCTAGTAGCACAACTAGTCTTCTAGTTGGAGCATTATGTGAGGAAAGAGCTAGTTGTTAGTCCTGACGACATCACTGACTTACAAAAGATTACAGAAACATCATTATGAATAGTCTTACATTCCATGAGTATCATTGACAGTGACATTAGCTAGCAGAGGAATTTTTCTTGAATGTAAGAATGAATAGACGATGAATGCTTGCAAAGAGACATTTAAAATCAAGAGTATTTGCTTCACGCATAAATCAGGTATTTCTCTTCCTATATCTCAGAAACTATACCTGATGTTTGCAGTGCAAGAAAGACCTACTAAACCAAATGTCACAATTTTAATTTTCCATCTGACAAGCATTTTGACAATTCTTTCTGCCTATCCTGAATTATGCAAATCAGTCTTACGACACTCAACACAAACAAAGCTGTCTTCAAGTAGGTTGTCTTATCAAACCATTTTTTTGAGTATGGTACTGGGGTTTGAACACAGGGCCTCATGCTTGCCAGGCAGGGGCTCTACCACTTGAACAACTCCACCAGCCATTTTTTTTGTGTTTTTTTTTTTTTCTTTTTTTGACATAGGGTCTTGTGATCTACTTGCCCTGGCTGACTTCAAACCATAATCCTCCTGATCTTTGACTCCTGTGTAGCTAGGACTACAGGAATGAGCCAATGGCACCGGGCTTATCAAACACTTTCTGAAGAAAGATGGCAATCATAGTTGGTTTTGGCTGGGACTTATCTGCCAGCACTGAAGTATTTTGTTCCTGCTAATTACTCAAACATTCACGTCTGGTAATAAGGAGTTTTCAATGATAAGAACAATTAAAATAAATGCATGCTATAAAGTATGAAAGCATCTGTAGTCTCCTGGCCTTCATGTGATGAAATATGTCTTCTTAATTCACTGCACCTTTAGGAAGCCTCTTGTTTTTAAAATTCTTTAAGAAAAATTTGAGTATTATGTGTATTATTTGTGTAGTATGTGTATTATGTATTATTATATACATAAAATATACCTATTATATACATATACATAAAATGTACATTATACACATAAATATATTATATACATAAAATATACCCATTATGTACATAAAATGTATATATATATATATATATATTCCATAAGCAGGTGGAACCTAGCACATTTGAGGTCTAGAGTACATCATTTTAAACAACATCTACCTCTATGTGAAAAAAGACTTTCAGAAATAATAATAAAATGGACCCATAAAATGTCCAGAAAAGAAATATAAAGTGAATATTTCCTTTCATTTAATTGTGTATGTACAACTATGCAAAATGACAATTATTTCTTAAAATATTAGAACATATAAAAGGAATTACTGCACAGCTGTTTATTCAACAATTTGAACAGTGTGAACTTCGATCCTTTAGTTAGTCTGATTTAGTTGTTTATGTAAATAATTGTCCACTAACTAATAAGTGAATTTTTTTGAGACAGAGACTTGCTGTGTAGGCCATGCTGACCTTGACCTCACAATCCTCAGCATCCCAAGTGTTAGGATTACTGGTGTGTGTCACCATGCCTGTCTGTAAGTAAATTTTATTAAATAAGTAAATCTTTATTAAAACTGAAATCCTGCAATATACAATTTAGGGAACTCCCAAGTCGTACTGCCAATGTAAAATTTTTTTCTTCATTTATTCAGCAGTTTAACGACAACTAGAA